ACTTTTTGGAGCTGCGCGGCCCAAAGCCTGCAGGAGATGCTCGTTTTCTTCTTGGCCTATATTTTTGTCCTCGGAATCTCGACATGCTTTGCTTTCCTGTTCCTGTTCTTGGTGAGGAAGCACAGAGGAGCGGGCTCCAGGCCAGCCGCTTGGTGCGCCCGCCCGGCGGTGGGGAAGGCGGCGTTGCCTTGGTCCCTTCCAAGCGTGCCTGCCGTCCTCGCCAGCCGTTTAGCCCGTCCAGCAGGGCTTTGAAGGCAAACCTTGGCAGAGCGGGGTTCAGCCCCCGGAGGCCACAGGTCCATGGAGGAGAAAACAAGTGCTGGCTTCCATCCTAGAGATGCAGGCTCCTTGGCTGGATGTGGTTGGCTGCCTTTTCCGTTTTATTTTCTGAGACATTCTAGCTGTGAACTCAAAGAAATCTTCCTGCCTCAGCCTGAGTGCCTTAATTACAGCTTTATTTTTTTATTGAAGAGGTATGCCAAAGAGAAAGACTGGGAGGCCCAACAGAACAATCAGGATGGATGGATTGTGTGTGTGTGTGTGTGTGTGTGTGTGTGTGTAAATTAGAAAACAGCTCCCCCAAGAAGCTGAGGCAGGAGGATCTCCAGGAATTTGAAGCCATCCTGTGCTACATAGTAAGACCCTATTTCAGAACAAAACTGGGGAGGGCTGCTGGTGTGTGATGGGAAGGTACACCCTTGAAAAGTGGTACAAGAGCTGTGTACCTTCAGGTCCAACCCTGAAGCCAGCAAGTGCATTTATTTCAAGCTCCTGGAAGCAGCTCTGGCCCAGGAGTGTGTGACCCCTCTCTTGCAGTCTCTGCCATTCTTGTCATCCTGACCTACAGGTACCCACAGGGGACACACTTCCGTGCCTTCGCTCTCCGTATAGCCACAAGCTTTCATGGCACCTTCCAGCCACGGTACATCCATAGACAGTATTACACATAAACAAAGTATTCTTTTTTGTAATCTTTTTAGAAAGTAAAACAATTTAATAAAGCTGCAGATAATGCTGGCACTTCTCTGTGTGTGGTCCTCGTGTCACTGTGCTGATGCTGTTTGTGTTGGCAGAGCTGAGGTTGGGAGACGGCTCCCTGCTCCCTGCGCACGGTGGGGAAACCCTGTACTGCGGAGCAGTCCCCCGGGCCACGAGTGCTGTGGCCTTCAAGATTTTCTAAAGTAGATCTCTTTTTGTACTGGGGATGTAGCAAATGACAAGGATTATTTTAAAAGCAGGCTTTATTTATTTTTACCAGGGATTGAACTTGGGACCTTGTGCTTGCCAGGAAGGCATTTATGCCACTGAGCTATATCCCCGGCTGCAGGCTTATTTTGAAAAATGTTCAAAGCTGTAAGAAAACTGCAACAATATTGTGATACGCTCCCAGAGCCAGGCATGTTGGCACAGGCCTGTAATATCAGCAATCAGGAGGCTGAAGCAGGAAGATCTCAGTGAATTCAAGGCCAGCCTGCACTACAGGGTGAATTCAAAGCCCACCTGAAGGGCCAGGATGACAGCTCAGTGGCAGAAGCACCTGCCTGGCAAGTGCAAGGTCCCGAGTTTCATCCCTGGAACTGAAAAAAAAAAAAAGGCCTGACCTGAATTACAAAGGGAGACCTTGTCCCAAAAGAAACAGCAGACCTTTCTGAAAAGTAACATCCAGATAATACAGAATATGGCAAAGTGAAGGGTGCCCCTAGTCCCACTTGGTGAGAATGGCATTATGTATGCATACTTTTTTTTAAGAGCTTTTTTTAATTTTATTTATTTATTTGTGTGTGTGTGTGTGTGTGGCGAGCTCAGCCCACCAGGGGGCGGGCGGGCTGGCATGTGGTGCTGGGGGATTGAACCGCGGTCCCTGTGCTTTGCTGAGCTTGTTCTAAGTAGGTGCTTTAGACCACCGAGCCATCTCTCCAGCCCCTATGTATGCATACTTTGCCAAATGATGTAATTTGCCTCTGTGTTTGTGTGTGTGTGTGTGTGTCTGAGACAGTCTCCCTGTGCAATTTAGGCTGGCTTTGAACTATTAGCCCAGACTAGTCTCAAATTCCTCCTGCCTCAGCCTCCTGGGATTACAATGCTGGGATTACACCATTCTGGGTTATTTTTTGTTTTGTTTTGTTTTTATTGAGACACAGTCTTGCTATACAGTCAGTCTGGCTTCAAACTCAGCAGTTGGCCTGCCTCAGCCTCCAGAGTGCTGGGATTACGCATATGTGGCACCACGCTCCATGCCCTTCACTTCATTTACTTTTTATTCTTCTTCATTTCTAGGACTAAAGGATAATAGCAGCCTGGACCTCATGTGTGCCAGGCAGCTGCGCTACCCCTGAGCTGCACCCCACCTTTGTTCATTTTTTTTTTTTTTTTTTTTGTACCAGGGATTGAACTCAGGCCCTTGCGCTTGCCAGGCAAGTGCTTATTCTGCTGAGCCATCTCCCTGGCCCCTGTATTTGGTTGTTGCAGGGTCTTACTACGCAGCTGGGACTCATGGTGATCCTCCTGCTCTCAGCCTCCCCAGCGCTGGGATTACAGGCCTGCATCACTATGCCTGGACTCTGGCCCCTTCAGCCAGCCCTGGGGGCAGGGCTGGCTGGGCAGGTGGTGCCTGGGATCAACCACGGTTCCTGCACTTGCCTAAGCAGGCGTTTAGTCCACTGAGCTATCTCACTGGCCCCCAAGTTTTTTTGTTTTTGTTTTTTGGTGGAACCGGGGATTGAACTCAGGCCTTTGCACTTGCCAAGGAAGCACTTATTCTACTGAGCCATCTCCAGCCACCCCCCAGCTTTATTTTTGATGTACTGAATGATTACAGTCCTAGGAATTGAATTTCAGGCCTTCACATTGAGCTACTGCACATTCCTGGCTATTTTCTGAAAGATGGTCTCGTTAAGTTGCCCAAGCGAGGCTCGAAGTTGAAACCCTCCTGCCTCAGCCTCCCAGAGCGCAGGAAGGACAGGAATGCACCTGCACACCTGCCTCTACTGTTTTATTTTCACCCGTCCGTGTTTGCAGTGGGGAGTGGTTACAGTCATACGGAGAGCTGGCCGCGTGGGACCGGGGCTGCGGATGTGTCCGCAGGCCTCCCTGCCCTCTCAAGTCCTTGGTTCTTCCCTGGGCGGCACAGCTGGGCGGGCGGTCTGCGCAGGCGTCGGAGGTCCCGGATGGCGAGGCCAAGGAGCGCTTTGCTAATGCAAGCGTCTGGCGCTCGTCTGCTTCCCAGGAGTTTGGAGCCAAGAAGAGGCCTTTAGAAAATTAAAAAAAAAAAAAAAAAAAATGGTTTCTCACAAAGCAATTGCCAAGGCCGTTCGGTCATTTTATTTTCTTGTTCAGTTCGTGCCAAAATTAAGCCCATCCCCCATAACCACCTCATACTTTTTTTTTTTTTTTTTTTTGGATGAGCTACATCTTTTTTCCTTTTTTTTTTTTTTTTTTTTTTTTTGGAGGGAGGGTCTTGCTATGTTTTGGCCCCGGCTGGCCTCTGATTCACAGTGATCCTCCTGCCTCAGCCTCCCAGCTGCGGGGATTACAGGCATGTCCCACCATACCAGGCTAATGCTATTTTTAAAAAATTATTACAGTCAGACTGGGCGTGGTGGCGCGCCTGTAATCCCTGCGCTTGGGAGGCAGAAAACAGGAGAACCGCTATGAGCCCATCTGTGTGGCGAGACAAACTCTGTAGACCCTGTACTAAATACATTTAAAAAAACTATTATAGTAAATGACACTTTGCCATGAGTTGTCAAAATCCTCCTCCTTGCTTTAGAAACACATCACATTGTGGAGGTTGATGGCATGCAACTTTTCTTTTTAGAGTTAAACATTCACCATATTTCTCATCCCACTTCAGATTTTATTTTATTTTATTTTGATGTATTTAGTACAAAGTCTTCAGCGTCTCGCTACACAGACCGGACTCGCCTTCAGTCTCCCAAGCGCTGGTCTCAGCGCGCCCAGGGTCGGGGCCAGCACGGTACACCAAGGATCGGACCCGGGTCCCTTCGCTTTAATCCACTGAGCTATCTGGCCGACCCTTAGATTTCTAATACTTTTTTTTTTTTGGTGGAACCAGAGTTTGAACTCAAGCCTTTGTGCTTGCCAGGGAAGCACTTATTCCGCTGAGCCATCTCCCCGGGCCCTCTCAGATTTTTAAATTGTGGGCAGGGCTGGAGAGATGGCTCAGTGGTCTAAAGCACCTACTTAGAACAAGCTTGGCAAAGCACAGGGACCGGTTCAATCCCCAGCACCACATGCCAGCCAGCCCCGCCCCCTGACGGGCTGAGCTGCCACACACACATATAAATAAATAAAATTTTAAAAAATAATAAAAATAAATAAATTGTGGGCAAATACGCATTACCATACAGTTCCCATCTTAACGATTTATTGATTCTCTTTTCCCCTGGCGCGGGGCTCCACCCCAGCCCAGCACGGCACTTTTCAGCCGCACTGATGGCGGCAGCCTCGCGGGAGTCTTTCCTCCCTACAGCCCTGAGTTCTGTCTCGCCTGCGCCCCAGCCAGTCTCCAGCCCGGCCCTGGCGCCTGCCGACCCACTTCCCGTCTCCAGGAATCTGACCACAGGGCAACCTCAGGGCCTTCCCACCGAGCCACGCTTCCAGGCCTTTATTATTTTGAGACGCAGTCACAAAATTGTCCAGGCTGGCCTCCAGCTTGCAGCTGTCCTGACTCGGCCTCTCCGGTGCTAGCATTTGGGTGAGCATAGCGGCACCCAAATTCTAACTTTTTTTTTTTTCTTTCCGTCTTTTTGAGACAGGGTCTCCCAACGCAGTCCAGGCTGGCCTTGAGCTCACTTTGCAGCCCTGGCTGGTCTTGAACTCCCAGTGATCCTCTTGCCAGCCTCCCAAGTGCTAGGATTACAGAGGTGCACCACCAGCCTGGTTTTACCTTTTATTATTTATTTAATTGGCATCTGCTGACTTTCTCCGAGGGAGGGGCGGGCCAGGGGCGCAGGGTTGCCTCAGGATAGGGCTGATCTGTGAAAAGCGCAAGCTCCTCTTCCATCCCCTGGGTCCTAAAGAGCTACTTCACACACACGGGCCTGGGACAGGACCTCAGAGTAAACAAAAGGGACGATGGCTCCGTTGGGCGCAGCGACGTCGCAGGCCTGTGATCCCAGCACTCAGGAGGCTGAGGCAGGAGGATTGCTACAGGTTTTAGGCCAACCTGGGCGACATAGTGAGATCCTGTCTCAAGGAGAAAAAGGGGTCAGAGAGACGGAAGGAGGGACGAGGATGGGCGCGGAAGGTGGTGAAAACAGAACCAAGAGTCCTTAGGTCTGCGCGCCTGGTCCTGCCGGAGGAATGTGACCACTTGGTACTGCAAACACGTACTAATAAAAGTAAAAATTTTAAAAATGGAAGGAATAACATGAACTGCTAAGAACTGATGTTCCAGCGCGGCTGGATCCACTTCATATCCCTCTCCACGGTGCACACACCCTCCCCGCACTTTACCTTCCGGGGGTGGGTGGTTTGCGTTGGGCGGCCGCCATCCGAGCGCCCGCGAGGTGCACGTCTCTCCGCTTCTTTGGAAGGGAGGTGGGCGGCCTTTCTCAACAGGGCCAGGGACGACTGCCAGTCTCTAGTGGAACAGTTCCAGGGCTTATCTTCTGGGCACCCGGCTCCGCTGATAAGAGGGCTATCTTTAGTTCCAGGGCTGAGAAAGAAAGGTGAAGAGCCTGCCAAGGTCAAAGGTAGGCTGCACAGCCAGAAACCAAACCTGAATTTGAGAGAGAGAGAGAGAGAGAGAGAGAGAGAGAGAGAGAGTCTCACTGTGTAGTTCAGGCCGGTCTTGAGCTCACTTTGTAGCCCAGGCTGGTCTCGAACTCGCAGAGATCCTCCTGCCTCAGCTTCCTAAGGCGTGACTCCCGATGGCACCCCAGTTGTGTGCGTGTTTTAATGGACAGCCACATAATGCTTAACTGCATACGTGCTGCCATTCTCATTTGACCTGCACGCCAACCCTGAGGTCGGCACTATTCTGGCTCTTATCCGCCTGAGGAAGAAAGCACGACACAGGCGCAGTAACTAAGCCAAAGTAACACAGGGACTTAAGCGGCGCAGCAGGGCCTAATCCAGTCTGACTACAAATCTCACTTTGCTTACAGGTCTTATTTATGTTTGTTGTGTGTAGCCCATGCAGAGCATCGGCTCCATAAGAAGCAGTTCCCTACTTCGCCTCTGAAACTCCACCCTGCAAAACCCCACAGCCCGGACCCAGAGACAAATAAAGGACGCCCTTTTCGCAAAGCATAGTCCAGGCTGCGCAGGCGCATCAGGCCGGCCGCTGGACACGCCTCTCTCTTCGCTAATTGGTCATCACCGATGACTGACGGATAGCCGGCGCAGGCGCCCTAGGCTAAACCAGGGACACCTTCCGCTCTGAGACACACCCCTCTCCCTGTGCTCATTGGTCACTTCTAATGCCTGACGGAGATGGGAACCAATGAAAGCTAGGATTTCCGGGTAGGGGCGGGCCTCACGGACGGACAAATTTACGCGGGTTTGGTCCTGGCGTAGTCATGGCGGCTTTTCGCGACATTGAGGAGGTGAGCCAGGGTCTGCTGAGTCTGCTGGGAACTAACCATGCCCAGGCACAGCAGCGACGGCTCCTGGGGCGCCACGAGCAGATCCTGGAGCGGCTGCTGGAGATGCAGGATGGCGCTGAGCAGCAGCTGCGAGGTGAGGGCCGGACCGTGGGCGGGGGCTCATCGGGTTTAGAGGTGTGTGTAGGAGTCCGGCCCCTTGATGGGTGCTGTGAACAAGAGCCGGACGATGGGGGTTGAAATAGTGCTTGAGAATCAACCCCCCCAATGGACTGTGAGATGAAACGTGAGTTCGTAACCTTCAGTGCCTCAGTTTCCTTAGCTGTCAGAAGTCTATGCCTTCCTCCTAAGGTTGCTAGAGATGTTTTAGAGCACCCAGTGTGAGCCTGGTCCTGGGTGGCATCAGGGAACAAAGCAGAATCTCTAGGTATGGTGGTGCACGCCTGTAACTCCAGCACTCATGAGGCTGAGGCGGGATGATTGCCGCGAGATCGAGGCCAGCCTGGGCTACATACATAGCAGGACTCTGTCACAAAAAACCAAAAAAACCGAAACCGAAAACCCTAGAGGAGGTGAGGGAGGCAGGGGCGGTGGTGAGGACTGAAGAAATTGGTGTAGATAAAGGACCTAGTGCTTTACTTAGAGAATATGGGATAAATAATGCTATTTTCTTTGGCTCCAAGATACCACAGAATGTAAAACTTACTGAAAGGTAAGCGGGAGAAAGCCAGTATCTTTACCTACGTGGGGAGCGCTGCCTGCGCAGGCCCGAGGTCCCTCCCCAGCACTGGGAGAAGAGAGCCTGGACTGATAATACTGATTGTTATCACTGGTGGTGGGACTGGAACCCAGAGCCTGGGACCTGCCAGACACATGCTCCTCTGCTGAGCTGTGTCCTCAGACTTGCTTCAGATGTTGAGGCAGGCAAGCTGCCCAGGCTGGCCTCACACCTGCAACCCTCCTGCCTCAGCTTCTTCAGTAGCTGTGGTTACAGGCGAGCACCACCCAGCCTGACTGTTACAGCTTTTATGAGTTATTGTTGTTTTTTTCCTGGTGGAACCGGGGATTGAACTCAGGCCCTTGCCAGGGAAGCACTTATTCCACTGAGCCATCTCCCCCACCCCTGTTAGAGCTTTTGTGAGCCTGCATTTTGGTGGCACGAAGCACAATCCTAGAGTTGTTCAGCCCTTACTCTAAGAACTCTTTCTCGTCTTCTCTGTCCCATTAATCACTGACACTTGCCCTCCCCCAAATCCTGGTACCTACCAGTCTATTTATTTATTTATTTGTTTATTTATTTATTTATTGTGGAACTGGGGATTGAACTCAGGTCCTTGCCAGGGAAGCACTTATTCTACTGAGCCATCTCCCCAGCCCCTCTATTGTATTTATTTATTTTTAATTTTTTAATGTATTTGGTACAGGGTGTCACCGTGCAGCTCGGACTCATAGTGATCCTCCTGTTTTCAGCCTCCCCAGCGCTGGGATTACAGGCGTGCACCACACACCCTGTCTCGTTGCCGGCTCAGCATGCACATACTGGGGTTCGAACCCCAGTCCCTTGTTTGCCTAAGCAGGCACTTAGCCTGCCGAGCTATCTCGCCTGTCCTGTTTTGTTGGTTTTTGAGATAGGCTCTGGCTCTGTAGCTCAGGCTGACCTTGAACGCATGGTGACCCTCCTGCCTCAGCCTTCTGAGTTCTGGGCTGTAGGATGTATTTAGAGACAGGGTCTCAGTAGGTACCTCAGAGGGCCTGGAACTCAAGGTCCTTCTGCCTCAGCCTCCTAGTTAGGCTGCAGCTGTGCGCTGCGATGCTTGGCTTACCCAGGGGATCTTCATAGCTGGGTTCGCACGCTTCTGGTAGGAGGAAATCAGGGGTCACGCCATAGAGACAGGAAGAAGCAGGCGCAGGATTGTCAACACCGAGGCGCCCTTGCGGACTGATGAGAGGGCACGAAAAGGCGCGGTTGGGGCCGGGGAGATGGCTCAGTAGGATAAGATCTTTTTTTTTTTTTAACATTTATTTATTTATGTGTGTGTGTGTGTGTGTGGCCAGCTTAGCCCACCAGGGGGCGGGGCTGGCTGGCATGTGGTGCTGGGGATTGAACCGCAGTCCCTGTGCTTTGCCAAGCTTGTTCTAAGTAGGTGCTTTAGACCACTGAGCCATCTCGCCAGCCCGAGGATAAGATCTTGACTGGCAAACGCAAGGATCTGAATTTAATCCCCGGTTCCTCCAAAAAAGAAAAGGCGCGGTAGAGGGAACCCGCGGAGGTGGACGTGCAGGGCTGCCGGCTTAGACGGCCAGTTGGACACACAGACCAAACCCGAGGCTTCCTGCTGCCGCGTTGTGACCCGTGCCGGGTCAGTCTCAGGGCCTGTGGCCCTCAGGCCAGTGTCCTGCCGCTGAGCTGCACCCCTAGCCTTTTCCTTTTTTTTTTTTTTTTTTGGAACCGGGGATTGCACTGAGGCTCTTGAGCTTGCCAGGCAAGGGCATATTCTACCGAGCCATCTCCCCAGCCTCCAGCCTTTTATACTTTATTTTGAGACAAGCCTCGAACTTGAGCTCCTCCGGCCTCAGCCTTGCAGGGTGCGGGCGATTCCAGCTGCGCGCAGCCACATCCGGTGTGTAACCTGTGCTTGTCACCACTTGAGTGTGTCGAAATGTGCACTGGCACCCCAGGAACCCCGAGCATGTTCGGGTAGGGACTTTCTGGTTGGTCTTAGAAATGCGGCGGCTCTGATGTTGCCGGGAGACCCGGGTCCCAGGAGCGACGGGTGGACCTGCGGGCGCCTCCTTCTGTCCCGCTGCAGAGACGCTGGCCGCGGAGGAGAAGGTGGCCCAGAGCCTTCTAGACACCAAGGAGTGCGTGCGCCAGGGGGCCGTGGAGCTGCGGCAGCTGGAAGCCGAGCTCCAGAAGGCGGGGGACGAAGACGCCATCCTGCAGGCCAGGCTGCGATATCCTTCACCGGCCAGCGCTGGCCTGCACCCCAGGGGGAAAGAAAGGAAAGAGCCAGGCATCGGGGTGCACTGGAGGATGGAGCCAGGATGGGCGCTAGTTTAAGGCCAGCCTGGATTACAGAGCGAGATCCTATCCCAAACAACAAAACAGCAGAGGCCAGGGAGATAGCTCAGTAGATTAAGCACTTGCCTGGCAAGCGCAAGGTCCTGAGTTCAATCCCTGGTACTGCAAAAACAAACAAACAAACAAACAAAAAAGGGCAGAGTAGGCACTCTCCGCAGAGTGGGATTCGGCCGCGCCTTCCCTCCGGAGCCGGGCCCTTAACACCTGCACACCCAGCTCAGCCAGGAGCTGCAGGACCTCAGGGAGCTGGAGGCCGAACTCGACAGACAGGAGCGAGAGGTGGACGAGGACACCACGGTCACCATCCCTTCCGCAGTGTGGGTTCCCAGCGGGCTTGTGGGGTGGCGCTGGGGTCGGATCCACCCCGGGGCCGGGGCGGGCGACGGCCCCGCTTCCTCTCTTTGTCCTGTCACCTACAGGTACGTGGCTCAGCTTTACCGTCGGATTAGTAAAATAGAGTGGGATTACGAGTGCGAACCTGGGACCATCCGCGGCAGTATCCTTTGCAGTGGGTGGACATGGGCTCAGCCCGGGAGGTGGCACAACTCCAGGGAGCCGGGGAAAGAGGTGAGCATGGCTGCTTTGTGCAGCCAATGGGAGCACAGGGCCTTGAACCTGCGGAGGAAGCGTTCTACCCCTGAGCCACCCCTGAGCTCCGCCCCAGTCCGGTTTAGCTTATTTCTAGACAGGATCTGGTTAAGTTTCTTCCGCCAGGTGGGGAGGCGCACTCCTGCAGGCCCAACACTTGGAGGCTCAGGCAGGAGGATCTCTGTGAGTTCAAGGCCAGCCTGGACTGCATAGTGAGACCCTGTTTAAAACAAAACAGGAGTCGGGGAGATGGCTCTGTGGAATAAGTGCTTCCCTGGCAAGCGCAAGGGCCTGAGTTCAATCCCCGGTTCCAGGGGGAAAAAAATGTAAAACAAAACCTGAAAGCGAAGTTTGTGGAGTTGGCCTCAAAATTGCAATCTTTATGACTCAGTCTCCTGAGTGGCTGGGATTACAAAAATGACCTAAATAGCTTACATTAAAGAAGGAGAAAAAAAAAAAAAAGACTCAGCTCATGGCTGAGTCACACAGCATGATTCCAGCATGCACAGCCAAGGTTTGGATTGCCAGTGCCAAAAATAAGCCAGATGTGAAGGCACTCATGAGTCACTCTAGGAGGCTGAGGCAGGAGGATCCATGCACCGTGGAGCAATTTAGGGAGACCATGGCTTGCAAACAAAAAGGGCTGGGGGGCGGAGCTCAATGCAAAAGCGGGGTGGGCGTGGGGGGTGTTTCCGCTCCAGTCCAGTACAGCAGACAAATGGGCGGTAGTTGGGGAGCAGCGCATGCGCGGTTTTCCTTGCCTCAGCGCTGCAGTCCACCATGGCCCCAGCGTGGCCCAGCCCGTCCACCTGGACAGCGCCCAGCTCTCCAAGCAGTTCATCAGCGACTACCTCTGGAGTCTGGTGGACACCGAGTGGTAGATGGGAGCCACGGGGACCGACAGGACGCCGAGGCTGCAGTGGAGGGCTGCGAGTGGCTGGGTGGGGGGATCAGGTTAACAATAAACGTTTGCACTGGACCTGGCGGTGCTCTCTGGTCATCCAAGCAGGAAGGGCTGAGGCAGGAGGATTGCATGCCACAGTGTGAGGCCAGCGTGGGCTGCATAGTGAGACCCCATCTCAAAAAGCAAAAAAAAAAAAAAAATAATAATAATAATAATAATAAAATGTTTGTGCATAAATGGCTTTCTTGTTTTTTTTGTTTTTGTTTTTGTTTTTTTTTGGAGGAACCGGGGATTGAACTCAGGCCCTTGCACTTGCCAGGGAAGCGCTTATTCCACTGAGCCATCTCCCTGCCCATAAATGGCTTTGTTGAGGTCTTTCTCTCCCTGCTTTGGCCTCAGATCTCTGATGGCCCGTAAGTAGCTGTAGGGAGCCGATGGAACCATGCCGGGGGCTTCCCGCGACCTAGCCTCACGGAGGCTCCAGAGTACTAGGCGTGAGGGCCCAGGCCTGTGATCCCAGCACATGGGAGGCTGAGGCAGGAGCGCTTTGCAGTCAGCTCCCGTCTCAACAAAATTAACGCAGTTTTATGGAGTGACAGATTCTGTTTGTTTCCTGGCTTTTGGTGCGGAGGATGGAACCCAGGGCCTCCTGTGAGGCAGGCAGGTGCTTACACTGACCCACGCCACCACTGAGTCCTTTTTGCTTTCTTGTTCAGAGACCCAGTCTTGCCGTGGAGCATAGGCTGGCCTCGAACTCAGCAATCCTCCTGCCTCAGCCTCTGGAGCGCCAGGAAGATAGGGGTGTGCCACCCCACCCTGCTTTCATCAGGTTTTTTTTTTTTTAATTTATGTTAGTTGGTCTTTTATTTATTTATTTATTCTCTTGGCGGAACCAGGGATTGAACTCAGGCCCTATGAGCTTGCCAGGCAAGCGCTTATTCTACTGAGCCATCTCCCCAGTCCCAATTTATGTTAGTTGGTACAGGGTCTGCTACAAAGTTTGGACTTGTAGTGGTACTCTGGTCTCGGCCTCTCCGGCCGGGATTACAGGTGTGCACCACCACACCTGGTTTTGGTGGCCGGCACAGCACACCCAGGGTTCTGGGGCCAGCATGGCATGCAGTACCAGCAAGCAAACCTGAGTCCTTGCGCTTGCCTGACAGGCACTTAGGTGGTGGAGCTGTCTCCCTGGCTGATGGGGTTCTTTTATGTGGTCCCCATCCATTCCTTCAGCTCCCCAGAGCATCCCCGCCCTAGTGACATGACACAGCACCAGGAGGCCCTCTGCTGTGGCTGCCCCTGGACACCACAGCGCACTCAATGCCCTCCCTGGCTTCGGGCCCCAGATCCCAGTGGTGACTGCTCTGCCCACGAGAAATGCCTCAGCCACAGTCACGGCCTGGGACAAGCCTCACAAGGCAAGCGCAGCCTTGGGCCTGGCCTGTGGCCGACACTGTCACTGGTGGCCCTTCCTGCCTTGGTGGACTGGGAGCTCCATCCTGTGAGTGACAGAGGCAGCAGCGCAGGGTTCTGGAGGGGGACAGGGTCCCAGTGGACGGCTGGTTTCCCTCCTACAGGTCCCCTGCTGGCAATGCCCCAGCATTCAGTTTCCCAAGAGAAGATGTGTCCTTTGGGGACTGCAGCCAGGTGCAGCGGGCTGCTCTCCACCTAAGGCCCCCCAGGGAGGAATTCAGTGGGGGCGGGAGGTGAGGAGGGGCTGAACTCCCTGCTCTGTGGGGAGAGGCCCAGCCCTGTGCGCGCCTGGGCTGTGACTCACTGCCCGCCTGGCCGGATGCCTGGACAGCCTCGCCCGCAGCCTCCAGCCTGGCCACCTCTCCTGGCCATCCTCTTCAGAGCTGATGCCCCCTGCCCCCTGGCACAGGCATGGGGAAGCCAGTTGAGCACTGGGAACCAGAATCAAGTCCCACACCTGTCATCCCAGTACTCAGAAGGCTGAGGCAGGAAGAAATCATGAGTTCAAAGACAGCATGGAGCCTCTCAAAAAAAGGGGGGGGGGGCCTGGGGAGATAACTCAGTGGAATAAGTGCTTGCCTGGCAAGCGCAGGGTCCTGAGTTCAATCCCCAGTACTGAAAAAAAAAGGGGGGGGGGGCCTGGGGAGATAACTCAGTGGAATAAGTGCTTGCCTGGCAAGCGCAGGGTCCTGAGTTCAATCCCCAGTACTGAAAAAAAAAAAAAAAAAAACCCCCCCAGTGTGAAGTTGCACACCCTTAAAGCCATTGTTGTGGATGCCGCACTGGCCCTGCTGCTGGCTTTCTGGGTCCTGGGATTAGAGGTGTGCACCACCGTGCCTGGCTTCTCATGTGCAGCTGGACTGGTTCTCTGGCAGGTGAGAGCCCCGAGTGACTGGAGTCTGGCTGCTTGTCCCTAGCCCCACAGCAGGCAGATAGCAGCGGCAGGGGCCCACCTGAGCCAGCTGCGTCTAGATCTTAAGCACTTTATCTTCACCGCGAGTGAGATCCTTTCCATGGTGATAAATGAGCGGGAGGAAATGCCACTGGCGCAGGCGAGCTCCGCAGGAGGAAATCAGGCTGTGGGCAACAGCAAGGACGCTGGCCTGGACGCTGCCTTGATCAAGCCAGGCCTGCGGTCCCGGCGGTGCCCGGGAGGATTTCCAGTTCCTGGGTGGGCCCCAGCTGAGGCCAGCGAAGGCAGCAGCCTCCTGTGCCCCTCTTGTGTGTGACGATGGGATGGGGGTGCCTCCCCAGCCCCTATTTACTTCTTAGTTTGGCAGGGTTTTGCCAAATTGCCCAGGCTGGGCTGAACTTGCGATTCTCCTGCCTCAGCCTCTCCCAGTGCGGGGATTACAGGTGTGCACCACGGTGCCCAGCAGCCACTGACCTCTTGACTTGGGTTAATGTGCACCTGGCCTGCGTGGGTGGCCGATCTCAGGAGAGGGTGGGAGGGGGGGAGGGAGGGACACAAACCCAAGCTGGGCCGACCAGGTCCAGGAAGCTGGGGTTGCTGCCTGCTGGGCTGGGGCATTCGACCTGGAAAGTCCCACTGGGCAGCCCACTGCTTTCTAATCCTTCTGTCATCACGGAAAATCACTGTCTGAAGGGGGGGGGGGCAGGGCAGGGACATCCGGGCCAGCTGCAGGCAGGGCAGCACCCACCCGTCTCCCACACAGGCCAGGCTCCTGGCTTGCTCACAGCTGCTGTGGTGGGGATGCCCCGGCTGGAAGCGGTTGGGGCAGGAAGGGCGCTGCTGGTTTTTACTTCGAGACAGGGTCTTATGGATTGAACTCACGCCCTTGCACTTGCCAGGCAAGCACTTCTCCTACTGAGCCATCTCCCCGGCCCGCATGGTGATCATCCTGCCTCAGCCTCCGAGCGCTGAGGGTATGGGTGCGCCGCTGAGCGGTGTTTGTGTAACTGCTTTAACACAAAACGGCCCAAACCGGACGGACGCCAGAGGCTTCCGGCACCTCTGCCCCTCCCGGGCCCTGCTGCAGGCCCTGCGGACGCCGCGTCCCGCCTCCAGCGCCCGCTCCTGCGGTTCCCCGGCGGCCGGGCCGGCGGCGCGTTTGTCCTGTTTGCCGCGCGGCTGAGCTTGCGTCCGTCCAATCGAGCAATTATCGGCCGAGCTCCGGACGGGCTGCTCCGTGCTCGCTCCCGGAGGCGTTCTGGACGCTGCCCAGGACAAAGAGCGGAAGGCGGGAAGGACGAGCCACCCGGTGGACACCAGGGACACGACAGGCCCGCCGAGGCCCAGCAGGGAAGGATTAGCCGCAGACCTGCCTTCAGGGCGGGAAACCGGGGCTCTCGGGCGCCCCAGACGGCGGGGCAGGCCGGAGACAGGGCCGCGGGCGTCGCCCTGCAGCCGCGTTGAGCCCCAGCCTCTCATCTCTCTCCTCTTGGTCTGGAGTCTGTCCTTTTGTGACCGCTGATTTCCCGCGTCCTGCTCTGAGGGTCTGACCTTGTAGCGGCGCAGCAGAACTTCCTGTTTCCTTGCAGGGGACCCCGTTTGTGGACACCCGGGGCGTTGTGAATGATGCTCCTGTGAACACAGCTGTGCAGAGATCTGCTCGGGGGCCTGCATTTTATTGGGTGTGGTCGCCCCCACCTGTAAGCCAAGCTACTCAACAGGCTGAAGCAGGAAGACTGCGAGTTCGAGCCCAGTCTAGGCAATTTAGCAAGATCCTGGCTCAAAATAAGACATATAAAAGGGCTGGGGAAAAAAAAAATAATAAATAAATAAATAAATAAAAGGGCTGGGGATGCAGTCCAGTTCTCCCTGGATTGAGTCCCCAACATATACACACACACCCAACAAAAATTACCAGGCATGGTGATGCATGCTTGCCATCCCAGCACTCTAGGAGGCTGAGATAAGACGATCTCCATAAATTTGAGGCCAACCTGCACTACATAGGGAGACCCTGTCTCAGAAAAGAGAAAAGAAAAGAAAATCCTGTTTTCAGCTCTTTTGTGTTTACCCAAAAGTGGAATTTCTAAGCTCCTATGGTAATTTAATGGCTTTTTTTGAGGAATCGTCAACAATTTTCCACAGCGGCTGCAACACTTTGTATTCCTACCCACAGCACAAATCCTCCAGTTTCCCCACATCTTTCCTTAATGAAAAAATGAAACAAAATTTCATAACAGAATAATAGCAACAGTGAATGTACTATGTAACATTATCTTCGAGTAGCTACTCGGAGCGCAAGACACAAACCGGGGGGTGCCCTGCGCCTGTTGTCCAGTGCAAGGGAGGCCGAGGCAGGAGGGTCACCAGGAGTTTGAGACCAGCCTGGGCTACATACACTGTATTAACATAATATTTCCACATCTTTGCCACATTGGCTGGTTTTGGCTTGGTAATTGCAGCCACTCTGATGCATGTGGAGCGGATTCTTACTGTAATTTTGCCTCATTTTTAAAAACCTTTATTTATGTATGTATTTGGTACAAGGTCTTACTACACAGCTTAGACTTGTAGTGACCCTCCTGTCTCAGCCTCCCTCCCTTGCACTGGAATTACAGGCATGTACCACCACGCCTGGTTTTGGTGGGTGGCACAACACAGCCCCGGGACCAGGGCTGGCATGACATGCAGTACTGGGAATCGAACCCTGATGCTTGTACTTGCCAGGCAGGCACTTAGACCACTAAGCTATCTCCCCAGCCAATCTTTTTTTTTTTTTTTTCCAGAACCGGGGATTGAACTCAGTTCCTTGTGTTTGCCAGGGAAGCACTTACTCTACTGAGTCATCTCCCTGGCCCCTAGATTCAGTTTTTTGTCTTCCTTGGCCTTTCTCTTCCGTTTCTTTTCTTTTCCCCCCTCCCTCTTTCCTACTTATTTTTTAAGACCTGAGGCCTCTCTGTGTGGCCCAGGCTGGCCCTGAACTCTTGGGCTCAAGAGATCCTCCTGCCTTAGCCTCCTGAGTTCCTGAGATTACAGAGACCCCACTGCATGCCTAACCAGGCCACTTCTGACCACCCTGACTGATGTGTAGGAGTGTTTGCGCTTTGCTTTGCAATGACCTCAGGGGCCTTAAATGCCCGCATGACCCGATTCCCAGAATTTACGATTATTGGGTTTGGTGCTGTAAAATCTCTTGTTTTATGTCTGAGCAGTAGATCTGCTAATCCTGTGTTAATACTGCCTCTTACCCTAATCTTTTGTTTGAGACTCTCCTTGTGCAGCCCAGGCCGGCCTCAATTTGTGCATCTCTGTCTCAGCCTCATGCAGGGCGCCCCTGCCTCTCCTAGAGCTGACCAGTCTAGGACCAAGGCAGGAAGGGAGGCGTCGCTGTGTGGGTTGGGCTGCCTGGGCTCCGGGGTGAGCGCTGGCCTAGCTGCAGGAGGCTCTGAGGTCCAGGCCCAGTATCAAGGGCAAAGGACACAAGGGAGGAAGGGAAGGAGGCAGTACGTACCTCGGCCCCACAGCTAAGCCTCATCCTGTCCCTTCCCCAGTGCCAATGTCACCTCCTCAGTGGCCTCTTTTTTTTTTTTTTTTTTTGCGGAACTGGGGATCAAACTCAGGCCCTTGCACTTGTCAGGGAAGTGCTTATTCCACTAAGCCATCTCCCCGGCCTCCCTTTAATATTCTTGTGAAATGGAGCAATTAGGAAGTCACCTCAGCACTCTGGAGCAAGGGACAGAATTCAAAACACACAGGGTTCAGCCAAAAGGCTCACAGGAAATTTAATCGATCACCATAGGAAATTCAGGCTATAAAAACATTCTATACAGTGGTTTAAAAAGCAGAACTGTCCCCAAAGCATCTACCTCACGGGGGGAGCCCGCCACAGCCCGTGCTCATCACCTTTTACAAAGCTGAGGCAGCTGGGGCTGTGCAGGACCCCCGGAAGGGTCACCATTGTAGCGGGGGGTGGGGGGTTGCAAAAATAAATAGATTTCACACATACACACGCACATACTCACACAGTAAAGGTCTCAACAAATACACAAAAGTGCAAACTTAACACCAAGCGCACTCCCTGCGCTTCGTGTTTACACCCAGGGGCCGCAAGCGCCCTCCAAGGTTGGGCACAGGGATTTGTCGCTGGGTCCTGACGCTCAAGGATCCCTGGGGACTTCAGTGCCATCCTCCTCGGGAGGCAGCTGCACCTCACACAGCCTCTCACCACACCAGCAGCCTTCCTGCCTCCACGCCTCGAGCCCAGGAGCCCAGGACGGACAGATTCTCACAGGGCGGGCCCCTTGCTTGCTGGGGTGGGGTGACGGTGTGCTTCCAGGGAGGTTAAGGGCTCTGCGGCATTTGCATAGAGGCAGAAGTCAACTGGGATGACAAAGAACGGAGGCTTGGGGCTGGCTCAGTGGTGCAGCGTGTGCCTGACACCCCAGCACCCTGGGAGGCGGAGGCAGGGGATCACAAGTTTCAAGGCCAACCTGAGCAGTGACTTAGTGAAACCCTGTCTCTAAAAAAAAAAAAAAAAAAAAAAAGAAAGAAAGAAAAAAGAAAGAAAGGAAGGGCCGGGGATGGAGCTTAGTGTGAAGGCCCCGGATTCAATCTCTAAATCCAAAGGAAAGAAAAGAGGGAATGAGGGAAAACGGCTATTCAGAGCTTCATAATCACAGGTTTGAAGTATCCATCACCCTGGCCTCTCCTGCCCTCCCCATACAGCAGCTCTGCGTCCACAGCCGCCCAGCTGGGTGGGTGCTGCTCGTCTGTGATAGCCAGCACTCGGGAGGCTGAGACAGGATTGCTGAGTTCAAGGCCAGCCTGGGCTACATAGCGAGACACCCATCCCAAAAGTAATGACAAAAGAAACCCAAAAAGAGCCGGCCACTTCTAGCCAGCAATCTGTCCCAACGCAAGCAGCGAGCGGCAAACAGTGCAAAATAATTGCGCACGCCGTGCAGCTGTGACCCGAAAAGTGCAAGGAGCTAAGGGAGGGGCAGGGCTGGGATCCGCTGGCGGGGTCCTGGGGCGCCCCCAGGGGCTGCGTGCGTCCCGTGGCGCAGGCACTTCCTAACTGTTAAGGGCGAGGGTGATGCAGGCTTGCTTCTCCTCGGCAACTGGCAAAGTTTTGGCGAGTGGATGAATGACTGAGTTGCACTTGGTCGGCGGCGGCGCCACATCCAGGATCCCTCTGTATCCTGGGTAGCAAGGGTCCCCTGAGTCACTGTCCTGGCTTCCCAGGGTGCAGGCCCCCCGATCTGGACGGATGGCAGGGTGAGGCAACAGCGGGGAGGTAACCGGCTCTCCTGAGTTGAGGGGCTGGGGGGCGGGGGAGCGCGCGGCTAGCACCTGCCCTTCCTTGCTCCTCCGCCCCGCGGTGGGCCTGTCCTTTGGTCCTTCATGCCAGGAGAGGAGGGCAAAATGAGCCTGGCGTGGCGGCCATGCCTGTCATCCCAGCACCTGGGAGGCTGAGGCAGGAGGGGCACTGAGTTCAAGGTCGGCGTGGACTACATACACAGCGAGGCTCTGTCTCAAAAGACAAAACAGGGCCGGGGAGATAGCTCAGCCACATAAGTGACTGCCTGGCAAGCATACATCCTGAGTTCAATCCCTGGTGCTGCCCAAAAAAAAAAAAAAAAAGGAAAAGAAAAAAGAGGGCAATGTCCACAATGAGGAACCCGCTCCTCTCTGTCTTTTCTGTTCTCCTTTGTAGGGAAAGAAGAAAGAGCCCGACCGGATCCCATTGCGCAGGCGCCGTTCCGAGTCCAGTTCTGCCTCCCGGACCAATAAATATATAAAACAAAGGCCGGGCAGGCAGGTGCTGGGCTCGGCCGCCGCTGCGGGGCCTTTGGTCTCTTCGTGCTCCGAGTGGAACGCGACGGCTCCCAGGCATCAGGTGTGAGGCAGGGAGGTGACGGTCGGTCAGTCGGTCGGGCGATCAGGGGCCGGAGACAGTGTCCTTCCTGGTCCCGAGGAGGGGTGGGCTCGGGCTCACGCCATGTCGTCCTCCAGGCTGACCATCTGTCTCTGCACAGAGCGCAGGACGCAGCTCAGCGCGCAGCTAGCCCGGCGGGTCCCGCCCTGGCTCTGCCGGGTGCGCTGTGCACCCCTGCGCCGTGCATCTCCTGCGCGTCGCGCCCTGCCCCGGGGTCTTTGCACACGGCAGTACCCTCTCCGAGACGCCCACTGTGGACCCCCATCTGAAATCGCGCCTCCTCCCCCACCTCCTGGGGCTGGGGACCCCAGACGCTCACCGAGGGGTAGGTGTAGCCATCCTGGCTACGGCAGATGTGCACCTCGTCCTCCGTGGTCTTCTGGTACACCGGGTTGTCAAAGTTGATGCTGTTGATGCTCTTGAGCCGCCAGTTCTTCCAGAGCAGGAAGGCACCGAGGCAGAGGAGAGTGACCAGCCCTGGGGAGAGGTGACCATCGCATGCGTGCTCCAGAGGGCAGCCCGGCCAGGCCAGGCCTCCCAGCCTTTTTACTTCACTGTGTTGTATTTATTTATTTATTTATTTATTTGCTGTTTCTAAAATTTATTCTTTTTATTGTTTTTAGGGAGACCATGCCTTGCCACCTTGCCCAGGCTGGGCTCAAAGTTGCAATCCTCCTGCCTCAGCCTCCCAACTGCTGAGGTTACATGTGTGCAAGGGGGCTGTGCCTTTCTTTGAAGGGAAGGTGACCCCGAGAGGCTTGCTTACCAATAGGGAGGGCAATGGTCAGGGCCCCCATACCACGCGATTTCTTATCCCCTCTGCCAGCGGTGTTGCCCACACCTATGGGGGAGAGGGAAGGGTGACAATAAGACCAAGATGTAGATAGGGACACAGAAAGCAGAGCAGGAAGGTGACAGTCACACGAGGAAAATGCCTGGTACGCCTTGCTACCCTGTTCCAGGCTAGCCTGGAACTTGCTAGGATCCTCCTGCTTCAGCCTCCCAGTGCTGGAAGACAGGCGTGGCTACCACGCCCAGCCTAGAGTCAAAATGCTGAGGTGGACTGCAAGGCTCCGGTGCCACCTTGGAGAAGCCCCCCACGGGCCTGCGGTGAGGTGGTCTTTCTAGAAACTGCATTCCCAGGATGAGGCTGCCCAGCCACTCCTGTGTCCCCTCCCTTCACAGCTGATCAAAGTTTCAGCTAAGTAGGGGAGGGAGGGGATTTGAAATTTGTCTCTTCTGCTAGAAAAGTCCCAGGCTGCTAATGGAAGCCTGGCGCCCCCTTGTGGTCGGGAGCGCAAACTACGGGTGAATTCCCAGACCAGTTGGGGTTCCGCCAACTCCTAAAACAGCTGGCGTGGAGGGCCAGGTGCAGGCTACAGTCCTTTAAGTCCCTTATATAAAAGGACACGGTCTTTGCGCAGAACTCCACCCAGGGCCAGGGAGATAGCTCAGTAGAATAAGCGCATGCCTGGCAAGAGCAAGGTCCTGAATTCAATCCCCAGTCATTCAAAAAAAAAAAAAAAAAAATCTATTTCTTTTGCAGTATTGGGAATCAAATCGAAGCACATTCTACCACTGAGCTGCATCCCCAGCCCTTTTTATGATTTTAATTTGAACAGGGTCTTTTTAACTTGCCCAGGCTGGCCTCCAACTGTGATCCTCCTGCCTCCGCCTCCTGAGCAGCTGGAATCACATGCATATGCCACTGTGCCCAGCTAACATTAGACCCATTTTACAGGCAGAGAAACTAAGGCTGGTGAGACAGACTCAACAGTCCCAGGGAGCCCAATTGCACCCTAACTATGTGACCCCAGCCCTTACCTTGGTAGGACCTTGTCACAGACTCCGCTGTGCTGAGCTCAGGGGTGGACACAGGCTGCTCAGATGTGCTGGGGGTGGGCTGCTCATGTGTGCGCTGCTTCGGCCTGGTAGTGGGCGGCTCTAGTGTAGTCAAGACAGGCTCGGCCTCTGCCGGAAGAAGGCAGCATTTCCTGAATGCCGTGGGCTCGGGGCCACTTTTTATTTTTTTGAGACAGGGTCTTGCTATGTAGTTCAGGCTGGTCTTTTTTTTTTTTTTTTTTGCGGAACCAGGGATTGAACTCAGGCCCTTGCGCTTGCCGGGGAAGCGCTTATTCCACTGAGCCATCTCCCCGGCCCTTCAGGCTGGTCTTGAACTCACAGCCTTGCTTTCCCACTGAAGAGCAAAGAGGGCTCAGAAGGTTCCAGTTGCGGGCCATGAAGCCAGACCTGTGGCCCTACCTGTGCGACAGCTCCTCATGTCCTTGGCCAGCACCAGACCATCAGGGCAGACACAGGTGAACTTGGGGGAGTGGGGGCTGATCTGCGGGGCTGGCAGGCACAGGTACTGGCAGCCACCGTTGGGGAGGGCTGTCCTCTCACACCAGTTCACTCCTGGGGTGGGAGAAGATAGAAGTCACGGTGAGACTGAGACATCGAGCAGACTGGAAGGTTCTAGAACATTCCAGAAAAAAAGAATTTAGGGCATGGGGGGAGGATCTGGAACATTCTGTGAAAAATCTGGAAGATTCTAGAACATGTTTCAGAAAATTCCATGCAGTGTATTATTTGTTGAAACTGTACTTCCGATTTGATTTGAAACTGTCTCATTGCTATCTGTTTATCAATAAAACTTTGAAAAAAAAAAAGAAAATTCCAGGGCACCTCAGATAACTCTGGAGACTAAGAATACAGGTGATCCATCTTTACCTTTTGGCTGTGTGACATTGTGGAACAGGACAATATCTTCAGGCGAAGACAGGTTTTCAGCCACTAAATGAATGTCCATGCCTGTGAGGCGGTTGACACTGAAGATGGCTTCATTCATGATGTCTGTCCAGAATATTTTGTCCTAAGCAGGCATTAAGGAAGATGATAAATGTCATTAACAGCTGGCATAGGACACAGACCAGGGTCCCCCTAACTCTCTGAGAAGCACAAGTAGGTGGTAGCATCATTTCTTCTTGTTTTGCTGTATAACTGTGATAAAACACATGACATGCAATTCACCATATTAGCCTTAAAAAATGTTTATTTTATCGATCTATCTATCTATCTATCTATCTATCTATCTATGTTTGTTTCCTGCTGCTGGGGACGAGACCCAGGGCCTTGTGATGCTAGAGCACCTGACAGAGCTCATTTCAAAATGAAAAATATAATTGCCTTGCTAATTTGTCCAGGCTGGCCTCAAATTCCTAATCCTCCTGCCTCAGCCGCCTGATTTGCGAGGATTACAGGCGTGCACCATGGCGCCCAGCTTCATCGTAACCATTTGGAAGGTGCCATTTGGTGGCACTGATACTTGTATCGGACAACCACCCCTTCCAGCCATCTGCAGGCTTTTTCATCCCTGCTAATCTACAACTGTCCTCATTAGAAATGGGAGCCACCAGCCTGACCCCCCTCGCCCCCCCTAGTCTGTGACTCAGACCAACTGGGACCCTGGGCAGGTGGGATCACAGATGAGCATAGTTCATTCCACACCACGTCCTTAAGGTCCAACCACATTGCAACCTTCAACTTGAGATCCTCCTGCCTTGGCCTCTCAAGTGCTGGGACTATATGCTGTGTCTCATCTCCCTGACTCACTCTATCTGGCATCTTGGGACCTCTGGGCTCCTGCCCAAGTCAAAATGACCATGAAATGGTAACATTTTGAACTGATTCAGGACATCAAGGCAGCCACAACAGCACCAAGTAGACACGCACAAAAGAGGACTCCCAGAACTCTCCAGAAACTGGTGAGAACACCTGGGCATGGCGGCGCACGCCTATAATCCCAGGGCTCCTGAGGCTGAGGCAAGAGGATCGCTGTAATTCCAAGGCCAGCCTGGGCTACATGATGAGTTCAAGGGGAACCCAACAGTGAGTCCCTGTCTCAAAAGCCACAAAAGTGACAAGATGGATAAGTGTATTGTAAGTGAAGGACAGGACATGAAGGAGATGAATACGGTGAGCCTTCTACTGTAATTAAATTCTTCTCGAGACAGGGTCTTGCTATGATGTTCAGCCTGCCCTTGAGCTCACTTTGTAGCCCTGGCTGGTCTCGAGCTCCCAGTGATCCTCCTGCCTCAGCCTCCCAAGTGCTGGGATTACAAGCATGCACCACCATCACACCCAGCTTTGTAATTTTTTTTTTTTTTTTTAAACCTAAAGCATGCACGATGTTTTTAGGTCACATCTCATACTCAGACTGAATCAACAGCTGTGACTTCTCTACAATTCCCAGGTCTCACCTCAAAGATGGCTAACGAGAAAGGGTGCGCCAGCTGCTCCTCATCCTCCAAGATGGTCTTCCTGTTCCCACCATTGACATCGATACTGGAGATGGAGTGGAGTTTGGAGTCAACCCAGTACAGGCGGCCACTAGAGAGATCTAAAACACACAGGTGAAAATACGTAAAGTTGGGGGGGCCCATTAGCTCAGGTGTTTAAGTGCCTGCTGAAACAAAGCAGTCAGGCTCAGGATGCTGTGGTTCGATGCCCTCATCCTCAAGCCAAACCAGACCTGCCCTGAAGGCATCCTGAGCACCCACCCCCCAAAAAAAATCCTTCTACCATTAGGGGCTGGGGAGATGGCTCAGTGGAATAAGCACTTCCCTGGCAAGTGCAAGGGTCTGAGTTCAATCCCCGGTTCATCCAAAATAAATAAATAAATAAATAAAATCAAGTGCATAGATGGACCATGAATATTTACATGTAGATGCCAGAGGTTAGAATAAAAAGGGTCATCAGATGGACCAGAAAAGTCTAGAAAGTTCTAGAAGATTCCAGAAAGTTCCAGAAAATTCTAGGGCACTGACAGTGATGAGGTCAAAAGTGTAGTCTTTCAACTGGGTTATCTGCCTCTCAAATATGAAGCTCTCAAAAGACCTAGGAAAGAAGAAGCGCCTTAGAAAAGGAGCTCAAGGGGCGGCCGGGGAGATGGCTCAGTGGAATAAGCGTTTCCCTGGCAAGCCCAAGGCCTGAGTTCAATCCCTGGTTCTGCAAAAAAAAAAAAGAAAGAAAGAAAGAAAAGGCGCTCCATCCACCTTGTCACCCTGAAGGCCCTACCAGAGCTTTGACCTAAAGACCTCATCCCACCCTGGAGACTCCCAGCTGAGAAGAGGGCTGCTGTGCATCCTGTCTGGGCTGTTTTAGGAGCAGCTGGGACTCCACAGCGTCCTCTAGATGGTGTCCAACCTCAGCAGGGACAGCCCTCCCGTGAACGTACCCAGTGTGATGCCATTGGGCCACTCAATGTTTTCTGTCACAAGTGAGTAGATGTCTACGCCGTTCAGTCCCCCTTTCTCGATCTTGGCGGGCATCCCCCAGTCTGTCCAGTACATGAAACTGGTGGGATAACAGGGAGAGCAAAGATGAGGCCGCTCAGCAGGGCAGGTCCCCAGCAAGGCTGAAAGAGCCAGGCCTAAACTTGGGAGTCAGGCTTTGCTGGGGAGCTCCAAAAGTCTATTTTTCATAGGTTTTGGTTTTGTTTGTGTTTAGTTTAGGTTTTTTTTTTTGTACCGGGGATTGAATTCAGGACCTTATGCTTGCCAGGCAAGCGCTTATTTTACTGAACTATCTTCCCCAGTGTTTAGGTGTTTTTAAAAAGTTTTTTGGCACAGGGTCTCACTGCGTAGCTCACACTGGGCTTGAGCTTGACACCTTCCTGCCTCAGCCTCCCAAGCCCTGGGTCTGAGGGTGTGCACCACCCCGCTCAGGCTATCAATGTTCCTAATCTGTCACTGGTGTTTGCTACCCTTTCCTGTGCCTCATCTGTAAATTAGGTTTCACCGCAGGCAGCAGATACAGGAAAGGGTGTTGTCTATGAAGGCCAGGTGAGGCGTCAGGCATCCACAGGGGACTTGGATTGTGGGTCAGTGCCTAAAGCCAAAAAGCTCTCTTGTTCAGTCTGGGTCCAGGCAGGACACCGCCACCCATGGGCTCGTAACCTGCCCTAGCCTTCCAGATGTGGATATCCACGAGGCTGAAGCAGGTAGGTCCCCTTGAGTCTGAGGTGGCCCCAGCTACATAGCGAGTTTGAGGCCGGCCTCACTCATGTTCTCCACCCCTCCCTCCCTTACTGCTGCAGCACCTCTGAAATTGTGACCCCTGTGGTCGGGGCAGATGTGGCCAGACAGGGACAGAGAATATGAGAAGGGCACAGGGTGAGGTGTGCCACCGGGACATGGCCATTCAGGGACACAGAGCTCCCCACACATGAGGCCCCAAACTAACCTCACAGAGGAGCTGCCCTTCGCCCCTCTCTGCACAGCCTCACCTGGCTCGGAAGGCTGGGTCTCACATACGAGTTGTGATTTTCATTTGTCACTTCACATCTAACTTACAATGATAATTCAAATCTAATATACTTTGCCAGGCGCAGTGGTACACTCCTGTCATCCCAGCACTCGGGAGGCTGGGCAGGGGGACCAGCTCGAGTCTGGGCTACACGGTGAGCCCAAATCCAGCCTGAACTACATAGTGAGACACTGTCTCAAAAAACAAACAGGGCTGGGGCTATAGCTCAGGGGCACAGCCCCTGCCTGGCAAGTGCAGGATCATGAGTTTGATCCCCGGTACCAAACAAACTAATACACTTTGAGGCCAAACACAGTGGTGTGGATCTGTAATCCCAACTCTTCAGGAGGCTGAGGCAGGAATATCACTAGTTCTAATCTAGCCTGGGCAGCTTGGTGAGTTTCCACCTCAAAAAATTAAAAGAGGGGGCCGGGGAGATGGCTCAGTGGAATAAGCGCTTCCCTGGCAAGCACAAGGGCCTGAGTTCAATCCCCAGTTCCGCAAAAAAAAAAAAAAAAAATTAAAAGGTTCGGGATGTAGCTCAGCAGGAGAGCTTTTGCTAGCACTCAGAAGGCCCTGGGGTCCACCCCCAAAATCCCTCTGAAAAAAACCCTAATATACTTTGTTTTTTTTTAAATTTATTTATTTATTTATGTGTGTGTGTGTGTGTGTGTGTGTGTGTGTGTGTGTGTGGCCAGCTCAGCCCACCAGGGGGCGGGGCTGACTGGCATGTGGTGCTGGGGGATTGAACCGTGGTCCCTGTGGTTTGCTAAGCTTGTTCCAAGTAGGTGCTTTAGACCACTGAGCCATCTCGCCAGCCCCTCTAATATACTTTGAAATCAGAACACATAAGTTGGTTTCCTTTGTTTTTAGCAAAGGCCTTGCTGTGCAGTCTAGACTGGCCTCAAACTTACAATGATCCTCCTGCCTCAGCCTCCTGAGTTCTTTCCTGATCCCTTGAGCTCTGCTCAGACCTCTTCGAGAAGCTCAGGACAAGCCCCATCTACCTGGGACACAGATATGTCTAACTGTCACCAGCTCGGGGACCCTGGGGCCCCGCCCTCTGTCCCCACCAAGCTCTGAAACACACACGCACCCGTGCACGGGGTCCACCACGATGGCCCTGGGCTTGGACCCTTTCTTCTGGACCAGAGTCCTCCTCTTCACGCCCCTGGTGTCGGCCACGGACACTGTGCCGGGGACCGAGTCTGTCCAGTAGATGTTACCATGGATCCAGTCCACAGCCAGCCCGTCGGGGGCCTGGAGGTCCCCACTGATGACCGTGTCGTGGGCAGCCGGGCTGGAGGCTCTATGGATCTGAGTGCTGAGGCAAGAGAGGCAGCGGTACGTGAGGCGAGGCGCCTAGCACAGGCGGGCACAGTGGGCACAGCTGGCACCACTCACCTGTAGATCTTCCTCTGGGACAGGTCAGACCAGTAGAGCCGGTTGCTGGCCACCTCGGCATCCAGGGCCACTGCGTACTTCAAGTTCGAGACGAGGCTGGTATACTCGCTGCGGTCCGGCGTCATCTTCCGCACCTCGTGGCGGTTGGTGAAGAGCAGGTAGGCGATGGAGCCTGGGGACCCGGGAAGGCAGGGAGGGAACCCGAGGGAACATGGTTTTTAGGTCCTGAAGGCTGAACGCAGGGGTTCCCACTGGTGAGCTCCACCCCCACCCCTTCTCATATGGTTTGCTTTGAGCACATCTGCCAATCCGCTAAGGGCTCGGACTGGGTTGAAGCATGGGGTCCTCCTGCCTCAGCCTCCCGAGTGCTGGGATCCCGGATGAGCTCAGGCCTGCCTCCCGCTTACCGACAGCCTTGCAGGTGCTGGTGCTGGGGTCCATGTGGAAGCCGTCCTCACACTCGCACTTGTAGCTCCCCTCCAGGTTCACGCACAGCTGGCTGCAGGTGTCGGGGTTCTGACATTCATCGATGTCTACACAGAGACAGGGTCTCACCCTGGTGCTCAGGCTGGCCTCAGACTCACTGTGTAGCCCAGGCTAGCCTTGAACTCAAAGCGATCCACCTGGCTCAGCCTCCCAAGTGCAGGCATCGCAGGCCTGTGCCTCCATGCTCGCTACCAGTCATTCTTCAAAGCATATTTTGGGCCAGCCAAATAGCTCAGCGGATTAAAGCACCTGTGAGCAGGTGTAGGGGTAGGGGGTTTGATCCCCAAGCCTGCTGTGCTGGCCCTACCCCTGGGGCATGCTGAGACATCGATGGAGACTGGGCATGGTGGTGCACACCTGTAATCCCAGCTCTTGAGAGGCTGTAAACAG